GCCCCCCCCCCCACCTCCCTTCCCCTCTCAAAAGAAAACAGATCATTTCGGAAGCAGGCAAGCAGCTTCTAGAGTGCATTACCAGGGCCAAGCCTGGCTGAGTGGGATACAACATCCAAGTAGAAATATACGATAAATAAACTGTACCTCACTCAGGAACCAAACTCACGACTTCTGAGACAAAAATTGCCATAAGGGATAAAGAAAAGAGGGAAGAAAATACTTTTAAAAACACACAAAAAACCCCCAAGAAAATAAGAAAAAAAATGAAAGATAAAATACGAGAAAAAGAAAACACAGCTTTACTTAGTCCCGTGATTAATACAAGTGCTTTTTACGCCCCCATCGATCCAATTTAGATCACTTAGGAGGCGGGCTTCACCTCAGTTGTCAGGGTCAAACCGAGGTAAATGGGTACAACATCTCAACAGAAAGAGATACTCGATAAAAATCCCCCCCCCATACTACTTCGGAATCGAACTCGGGTCTCTTGCGTGCAACGGCGAAGCACTAAACCCTACACCACAGATGCCAAAGAAAAAAAAATTAAATGTCACAATATAATCTGTGAGCGAGTGTCAGTCTAAAAATACACCCTTCGCAGTCAGATTACAGGTGTTTGATTTTTTAAGACCTTACAAAAATATACATAGACAATATGTAATCCTCTTGTGAAAACTTGGGTTCTCGCCTTTCGCGTCACAAGGTGGTATGTCCTCTGGACGGTAGTGCTGGGCGGCGAGGTTCCCGATTATTGAAAGCTAGGAACCGTAGGAATCGACTCCGAACCCAAATACTTACTTTCTAATGATGTCATTTCTTACCTGGTTGGCTCAGAACATCTTGAGGGTTTAGGATAACGTTGGTTTCGAAAAATACGAAGCATCAATTTTTTAAATTTCGAAAACGAATTTTTTTTTAATGAAGAAGATTTAAATGATTTAAGTAACTGTTAACTGTTGGTTTACATAAAAGGGAGTCGGAACTTTTCTTCCGTAGCACCCCTCTCTGGTAGCGCTAATCGTGGGAATCGGTTCCGGAA